TTTAGAGATATAGTTCCTTCAAGCCAAGAGAAGGTTTTTTTTTTTTTTGAGTTCCATTAATTGAGACCTGAGTCCTCAAAAACATTTCAGAAAACAGCTCAAACAAGATGATAGCTTCAGAGGTCAATGATATTTACTCCTTAGCTCCCAAGGAAAGAAATACATAATTTTCACAAAGTTTTTAAAAACAATATTCTTTTTTATCTCTATAAGTTGGCACAGACAGGGTCTCCATGGTGGCCTTTAGGTTCTCAGTGTTATCACCACGATGGCCTGAGGTCCATTCCTGGCCAGGGAGCAAACCCACATAGGGCGCAGCAGACCTCTCCTGTCTTTCCTGCTGCTCCCCTCAGCAGTATTTTTCAGTAAATCTGCCTGTTCTGCTCCCCACTCTGTCTCTGGTGAATCCTCTTACCCTTCCCCCCCTGAACCTTGGGCCTACACCCCAGTTCTTCTATGTAGAAATAAAAAAAAAAAGTTGGCATAGAACAAAGTGCTTTAATAAATACTACGTAAAATGTATGAAGTTTTGGTACCACATAAATTCATTTCCTACTCATGCAACGGTTAGATTAGGCATTCACCTGAGTGGGGTGGCTCTCCTCCATGTGGTCATTTAGTGATCTAAGCGATTTTCTTCTTGAAGTCCTACCACCACCTGGACCATGCCATTTTTGTCTAGTGCTTTGGAAAAGAGAGGAAGATAGAAGAGTGAAGAAAGTATGAAGGAGGTATGTCTGCTTTACTAAATGTCCTGACCCAGAGGGCACACACATCATTTTTGCTCACTGGACAAAATTTAAAATACAAGGTTGACCATAGGAGGAGAATCAAAGCATGACCATGCTTAGAGAATCAAAGCATCTCCTATAATTCCTTAACTAGGGAAGAAATAAGAATGAATTTTGGTGGAGAGATAGTGGTCTCTGTTTCAAAATTGTAGGTCTCTGGAAGTACCAACTACCACAACCTATGCCTTCAAGGAACTACTACAAGGATTAATTTCAACAAGAATTCAACATTACTCTATTACTCTTAGCCATCAAACAAACAGTAGAATCTTTATATTTCCTTGATTTTCTAGCATGAATCTTATATGCAGACTAATGGTACATTCCCTAACATGGGCCATCTTATTACTTTTGTTTTCTCTTGCAACATTTCTCATTATGCCTGATATAGTAATCAATCAAAAAAATTTGTTGAGAAAATGAATAATACGGTGAATGTGTTCTGTGTGATCTCAGTTCCATTATTAATACATATCATTTTACCCATCACATATTGGAAGGTGGCATTTTCTTGAAGAGAATAATTATCTGTGGTTCCTTTTCCATGTTCTGTGTTGAACAGTGCTGGGAGGTGGATTGCTTACTTTTCTGTAGCACCTTGCCTTAGTGAAAATATGGCAGAAGATTTGTGTTAACCCCTGCAATTCTTAAGCTGTCTGGATGTATCATCACGAAACATCACTGTCATATTTTGAATTCCACAATACTCATGTTGACTGAGCAGTGTATCAGCTAGTATATTCCTTTTCTATTACTAAACTGTTTTATTTTCATTTTGTGATTAAAAAACAATGTCATATTTCTTTTTATACACTAAAGTGTTATGGCAAGAGGTTCAACCATGTTGATGGCAAACGGTTCCCTGTCATGATGACCCACCTTGTATTGCTGTGTTTTCTAGAAGGCTTTCTCACTTCTATCTCAGAAATAATCTCACATAATTCATCTTTCTAGCTTTCCAGTCATTCTCCCAGGTCATTCTACTACTATTAGTCCCTTAGAAATTGCCATTTCATTGGGCACAGCTGCCCTGTATAGTAGACAGCTGTTGATATACATCTTAAGGTGCGCCTAGTGCATGCCAATGGAAAACTGGCAGTCTCACCCCTAGCCGTAAGGGTGTCACTTCACTTTCAGCTCCCAGAAATATCATTACACTGCACAAGGAAACAATGATCAAAACACTAAAAATTCTAACTTTGTCAGGTTTAGTCTTAACTCATTTAATAGGACATCATCAGGCTTGTCTTCATCAACTGCCAAAGGCTCAATTTAGTTAATTTTCCAAGTCTTAATTTCAGTTTAACTTCTGGTAAAAATCAGTTTTATAAGTACTTCCTGGGGTTTTAAGGGCCATTAACCCTAATTTTTAGTGAGAATGTGCACAAACAACACACTTCACAAGAATATGCAGCAATGCTAAATGCTACCTAGTTTAGCAATACTAAAATGTAGCCTACATCCAGATTTGTCACACTTTTTTCTTTAAAGCAAAATAATCCATAGAGATGTCTAACCTGTGGCAATGTTTGCTATACCACAACATTTACATTGCCATTTGGAACTCTTTATTGAAGCTCATGATATAGTTTCCCATTGTTGTTTTGACTTCCATTTCTCTACTGATAAGGATGATAAATATCTTTTATGTGTCTGTTGCCATCTTTGAATGTGTTGTTCATCTGCCCATTATTTTAATTAGGTGGTTTTTTTTGGTTAAGTTTTATGTGTTCTTTGTATGTTTTGGATATTGACATCTTGTGGTCAGATGTTAAACGTGCAAATATTTTCTTCCATTCAGCAGGATGCTTTTTGTTTTGATGATAGTGTCTTTTGCTATACGGAAATCTTTTACTTTGATATAGCCCCATTTGTTTGCTTTTGCTTTTGCTTGCCTTGCTGTTGGAGTGAGTCTCCAAACATATCTCTGAGGTTCACATCAAGGATAATATCACCTATGTTTTCTTCTGTGTACTTAATGGTTTCTGGTCTTACATCCAAGTCTTTCATCCAGTCTGAACTAATCTTTGTGTATGGTGTGAAAAGTGGTAGATCACCCATAATTTAATGCCAGTCTACATTTATTATGTCCAGTCTCAGCACAATTTTTAGTCTTCCTCAGTAATCTTTTCATTTCACACAGATTATCTTTTTATATCTAATAATTTGATAGAATCATCTCTTTTCTATCTAATATTACTATTCTAAACATTTTCCATGCTAAACTCTTGTTAATTTCCGTCCTCTTATCCCAACAAATGACTTTTCTGCCATAAAATGAAACTGAAGTCATCAACTTCCTGGTACTACTATAAAATGTCCTGCCATATTATATCTTCCCTCTTATCACCTGTGTAAGAGGAGTAGATGTTTCACATCTAGGTGACTTTCTTCATATGGCTGTGGATCCTGCCATCTTCCACCTATGCATGATTTTTGCTCCATCAATTATTAATAATGTTCTTGATTCACATCTTTCTACAAATTATTGTTGGAATAAATTATGAGCTCTTGTGAGAACAGGTTGCCACAAATGTAAGTTTGTCCTATTTGTACTATTTTGAGTCATGTCAAAATGATCTAGGACAGAATAAATTAGTAACAAACATAAGTGGGTGTTTCTGTTTCTGGCTTTCTGCCTTATTTTTCCATGTAAACATACTCTAAGTCATTCAGAGGAAGATAATTTATAGTGATTTGTGGCATAAATGAGACAGAAATAATAGCTGTCATTTGTTGAGTGGCTGTTTGGACCAGATCCTATCGTAGATGCTTTATGTACTGTCCCTCTATTGATTCTCAAATGCCCTGTGTTGTAAGAATTACTCCCCTTGTAAGTATGATAAAAATGAAACTCAGAGTTATTCAAAGAGGTGGTTTATCTGGGGAGTGATTCTGAAAAAGGGAGCAAGAAAAGTTCAGAAGAAAGGAAAGAGAGAAAAGCAATACAAGGCCACACATTGTTGAGTTGGCCTCCATTGTGGATGACTGGAGAGGATCTCACTGGTACCTTCTGAGGAGCCTAATGAAATATATTGCAAAACTTTTTGGGGTGGGCGTGGGGGGCACAAAACTGGGAAACATTTAATCATCAGTTCCCACCCTCTGTTGGTCATGGCTGGTCTTGGGTGTAAACTCCTTTGCACTTTGGCTCTGCATAAGTAAGAGAAGTGACTGGACAGAAAGAAAAATATAGGTACTGTTAAGCTGCATCTGCAAGAAGCTGTATGAAGCCTGCATGAATCTGTATGCACAGCCGTAGTGAGAAGTGAAACTATAGGATCTGAAGTGATATAATAAGAGGTGGCTCATCCAATCCATTCTTGTTTCATTCAGACCTACTATGCCTTCTCTATGAAGTCCATTATTATAGAGTCAAGGTCATGAGCTGCTGCAATCTTGGGGACTTAATACAAGAGTTTCCCCAAGCAGGTCTCACAGCTGTAACTGATATTCATCATCTCCTTCTTCTGCCTCCCATGCTAAATTTCCCCTATTTTGGGACAACATTTAAGTTGCCAATGCCTTGATGAATAAGCTGGTTCTTATTCCTGATAGTTCTTTTGACCTTGTTGGCTAGCAATTTCGATTGTTTGCTCATCATTTATTCCTCTGTACAGACAAAGGAAGTCATGATCTAGCAACTTTTATAAGTTTGAAATATATATGTTTCTATGCCTATTGTTTAGTAGCTACTTAGCTCCTCATAGTAGTCAGAGCTGATCCTCTCTGCCAGCAGAGTCTTTGCCTATTGGTCTTTATCTACGGGTCTAATGCCTTACTGGCACGAGGAGTCCAGCTATACCAGAAAGTGTTTTCAGGGAGCTACAAGTAGAAATCCTCTTGGATACCCTGGTGGAAGTGTTTATCTCTGTCTGGCTAAAAGCTTCCTTCCTATCCCCCTACACTTGTGGTCCGCAGGGAGAGTATTTAAGATCACAAGAATATCTTGTTCTTCCCCCACTAATAGCACTTTTATTACATTCCTTTTTCTGCCCTTCCCTGAGGTTTTGTTATTTGTTTGAAATACAAATAACATTTGGATTCATTTATTTCAATTTTAGTTTCAGTTTATTTGCTTTCCGTTTCAGTCTCTTTCACTTATCCATTTTTCATACTTGTTGATTTGATTTTTAAAGAACATATAGAAGATTAATTTGCTTGTAACAGTTAACACTATGCAAAAAGGTATTTACATAGAAGTGTCACATACTTACTTGGCAGGGAAGACATGTGATCACCAAAGTGATCTTCCCAGGCTGAGGCTTATCCATGGCGCTCTGAATGTGCTGACCCCTGTGATTTCCCCAAATGTGGGAACCTTAGCCACATAATTTGTGGTGGCAAGGGATTAAATTTGTGCTTTCTCCTGGAAAGAAAAGAAAAAAGAAAAGCTAAAATAGTGGTGATCACTTCCCGCTATAGCATTCTTCTCCCTTCTAGCCTACACCTTGTAGGTAGCAAATGTTACAGTTTTCTTATTTTTCTGCCTTGTTTCTTTTTGTAGAGATAGGTATATATATGTTTATTTTTATTTTTTCATTCTCTCTTAAATAAAGGTAGTATATATTTTGTATTTTGCTTTTTTCACTTAACAATGTCATCTGGAAAATAGTCCATAGAATATGTTATGTTTTTTAGTGTGCTAAGTAAAACCTTACAATCAAATTTGTAAAAATGTCACTAGGAACATTAAGAAATGATCTATACTCCAATTAGAACAGAGGCATCATTTCATTCATTCATTGAGCTAAGATTGTTTAAGAAGGATCTTCAGATGTCCTGTCTGAGGTTGATAGAGCACTTTTTTCGACCTTTTCTATTGGAAGTTGAAGATTTTTAAAGTAAAAACAAAACAAAACCTGGTTAATGTATTTATCAAGCTGATGTTTCAATTATTCAAACAAAATCTAAAATTTCAACCTGTCAGCATACACATGTTGGTAAATTCTCATTAAAATTATTCTGGTTTCATCTTTGTTTTTCATTTAAATGCACTGGGTTAAAAATTCTCTCTTTTATCACTTCAAATAGCTTGAGTGTGGCTCTGTGAGTCATTACAAATACATGGGATTTCACCTGTGAAGGGTGAATATAATGTTTTTACTCTCATGAAACATGTGGCTCAGGTTTTGAAAGCTTTTTTATTAAAGGGGAGTAAAATTCTGCCCTTTACAACAACCTATTCCACTTATTTTATTAGGATTCAGTACAAATGAATAATTTAGACATGTTATCTTTGAGTTCTTGAAATGAGATTGCATAATCACCTAAATTATCTCTTAGTTCCTTGAGTTCAGAAAGTATCATGCTATATAGGTTCAATATGAATGTTATGATTATAAATTTGAATGTCAATTTTGTACAATACCAAAATGCATCTTAAACTATTATTTCTTTCAGTGCTAGCACTTACATTGCTCATATTACTAATGTTTTTTAGTTGTACACAATGTGGTCAGGTACTCTGAGATCTTCTAGCATGTAGCACTAGAAAGAACCCTGGGCCAGACAGAGCCCTTAGAGTCTGGATCATCGTCTCCTGGCTCTGAAGGATTTGACAACGAAATATTGTTGGAAGATTGTTTGAACATTAACTAGTCTAATTCTCTGATTTATGGATATCACTAAGAAAACTTAAAAAGGGGGAACAAACTTGGGGTTGACAACTTTTTATTATACCAAAAGGGACAATAGAGGAATTGGAAAATTGAGAGAATAGCCCAGATGAAAAGATCAAGGTGTTTGTGATGGGCAGGATGGTGAAGGGAGGGAGAAGCAGAAGGGAGGTGAGGGAATAGAGGGAGAAGGGAAATTTATGGATGTGAAGTATATACACTGAATTGACTGAATATTAACTTGGGAGTTCAGTAAAAACAATGTTTGGGTTATGTGCATGTTTGTTTCACAGTAAGATATGCTTCTGGGCAATGAATTGCTCGTTTCCCATTTCTAGAGTATTATGGGCATAAATTAAAAGCTCAGTGCTTTTTTTTTTTTTTAACATTTTTTCCCCCAGTTGTTGAAAACTTTGTCAAGGGGCTACCCTTGGGGATCCATAGATTCAAAATATTGTCAGGCTGTCAGAAACTCAGGGGTTCATGCTTCTATATGTTTTTTTTCTCTCTGCTTCAAATATCCGCTGTCCCTTTTCTATATAGACGATTTCTATTTACTTATTATGATTCATTATAAACAGTACTTTAAAATTTTTTCTAGTTTCTCTTTCTAAATCTGATGCCCTTCCTCTGTGTTGTCACAAAACCCTTGTTTTTTTTTTTTGAACTTTTTATTACACTGCATCAACCTGTCTTATTTTAATTGTTTTATCTCTAAAGTTCCTGACAATTGGAACTATAACTTAACTTTTTTGCCTCTCACTTTAGGTTGCAAGAATAAATGTCATTTCATGTTTGTGAATCCTTATGCCTGTTATTTCCCCTGCCTAGGAGTTATTTCTTCTTGTCAGTTGGGAAATTTCTTCCTATTTCCTTTAATAATCTTTATGTTAAGTTGCTCTGTCAAGTCTTTCTTGACCTCTTCTCTCATTGCAGGAGATTTAATCATTTGATAATGTGTCTTAATTTTGTGCTTTTCATTAAGAGGTAATTTTCAAAATGATGAAATTATGTCTCTCATACAAATATAAAATAAAAGCATATGTGAACAATTTAATTAATCAATTAGTGAGTGAACCAGATGTTATACCACTTCAAATAAGATTGGACTTAAATGAAATTTATATATTTACTGGAAAAATTCATTTGCATTGCCCAAAACAAGTGTCATTTACTTTACTGTGGACAAGGAACATCTGAACTACCATTACTTTTCTTTTTTTTTTTTTTCAGGAATATTTCTTTTTATTTATTTTATTTATTTAAATATTTTATTTTATATAATTCTTACATCTTTTTTCATCTTTGCACAATGCAATGTGCGCATTTTCTTTTTGGGTATACACAATGGAATATTACTCAGCAATCAAAAAAGATAAACACATGCAGTTTACAGCAACATGGATGGAGCTAGAAGGGATCATGCGCAGCAAGATAAGTCAGAAAGAAAAAGAAAAATACCACATGGTCTCACTCATAGCAGGAATTTAGAAAATCTAAATAAGGGACCAGGAAAAAGACTAATTATAATAAAGAAAAAATCAAAATCAACAAGCAACTATAAACCAGAGATATACTATGGAGGGTGGGGGAGGGAAGGGTGAGGAAAGGAAGGACTATACCATTACTTTTCTAAGGGCTAACTTCCATCGCCACAAAGCTGTGGAATATTCTGATCAAAGACAATGAAAGACACAGATCCTTACAGAATCAGAAAACCCACAACATTCCATTGTATGGACTTGCTTTTCTGAAAGCCATTCACATCTTTCCCTGACACTTACAAGTGTGTATTATTAAATTTTCAACCTTTTGAAATAATTCTCATATTGCCCTCCTTCCCCTTCTCTTCCATACTATTTGGCCTTTAGGAAAAAGATTTGATCCTATACTCTTTGGTTTGGTAAATAATCTCCCACTTCTCACTTCTGCTGAAACTAGCTTAAATGATCTCTCACAAGGGAAATTAGTTAATTAGCAAGCTAAAACTAAAATGTGAGTAATTTAAAAAACCTAAGTGTGAGCAAGCATTGGAGAAATGGTTTTGGAAGCATCAGTTGATAATTCTTGTACTTTGCCTTTATAGTGTCTTTAAGTCCCATATCTTTTAGACTAGGAGAGAATGGAGGATTCTTTGAGAATCTGAGAGCATGAAAAAATGACAGAGATGACAATGAGAAAAGTATCAGCAATCGCAACAACTGTAACTAATCTAAAAGAACTACATAGACCCTTCATAATGTCATCTTATATTATTGTAGTTTGAGATGGAACCATTTTCTGCAACTTTCAGAAGAGAGGTTAGGTAGTATGTGGAAGACCACACAGGGAATTGTGTCACACTAGGATTTACACCCAGCACACTCCTACTCCAGGCTCTGACCATTAAGCATTGGGACTGAGAACAGCCTGAGCAAAGGAATGTCATGCCAGGACAGGCTGTGACCTGCGGGGTTTCAGGCTGAGCTTCTGGGGAGTTCTGAGCAGAAGTTGAGTCTATGAGCTTTTCTACTAGTCAACACAGGGAGAGGCCAATAACTTCCAAATACTCATCCAAATGGTAGATGTTGATTTAAAAATTTACCTTTTAAAATACTATATATTGTAACTGGGTTCAGTACTCTTTTAGACATTTATATATTATAATTGCATTTAATCCTCAAAACTACCTTATAAAATGGGTGCTAGACCATCTTATGGATGAGAAATGAAGGCACAAGTGTTGGAGTTGAATTTCAGATAAACCCAGTCTGGTTTCAAGAGCACATGCTCATCACTGCAGGGGTTGCCCATGGTAAGGTTACCCTCAGCAATGCCCCTTTGTAAAAATTATACTTCTTGTCTTGTAACTTACTTGTCTCAGCTTATGCAGTCTTTGTTCTTTCTGCACACTTCCTGGATAGATAAGAGGGTTGGATTTTAGAAGACATTCTTTCACAAAGTAAATAGTTGAGATCTTAAGAAAATGACAGTGAACACAGAGGAATATAAATAGTAAGATCAATTTCTCTTCTTTAGTAAGCATCAACCCTGTTAACTGGAAGCAAATCTAAGGAAAAGTGTGGTTAAATAGGATAGCTAACTAAGCCAGTGAATATGGGCAATTTTAAAGATGATTGCAAATGATAAATAATAGAAAGTGGAAGTAACCTCTAGGAATGTAATAAAATTTATTGCAATATCACATCCTGACTCTAACTCTTATTACTTGTATGATCTTCAACAAAGTAACAATACCAAACCTCAGTTTCCTCACTTGTAAAGTGGAGATACTGAGTATCTACTTCATAGAAACAATGGGAGAATTAACTAAATAACCCTTTGTTAAAATCCCTTCTTATAGGGCCTCCCTTGGTGGCTCAGCGGTTGAGCGCTGGGCTGTGAAGCTGCCTGCAGCCTCTGCAGTGCTGGTTCGATCCCCGACCACAGGCGAGGGTTCCACATGACACGCAGAACTCTCCTGCTGTGCTCGCTGCTCCCCTCAGCAATGTACTTCGTCAGTCTGTCTGTTCTGTTCCCAGCTCTGGTGAATTCTCACCCTCCTGTGCTTCTGACTGTACCCAGTGCTTGTATAAATAAATAAATAAATCTTTAAAAAAGAAAACACCTTTGTATAATCTGGTAGATGATTAAGTGCTCAATTCATGCTAGTTATAAATGACGCTAAATTGCTCTTCCTCAGCCATTAAAAAATATCTTTGGGGGTATAGAAGATAACTAACAGTAGAAATTTTTACTTCAGAGTTATTAAAAACCAACATCTGTTCAGCATTTCATAACATTTTACAAATTATTTGGTATTTGTTTTAATCCTCAAAACAGGTTGTACAAGTTGACAAAAATTGTCCCCAAAATTCCATGAAATAATTAGCTAAGTTTGAAGTGGTCTGCATTTTGGTGCTGTTGTAGACATTGTCTATGCCAGAGAACCATCAAAATGTAAACACTTTCCAGATAGCTGGAGCTTTGAATCTAGGAAGACTGATATATTTTAACCTTAGAGTCATTACATTATTTCTTTTAGTTTAAAAAAAAAAAAAAACTGGACAGGGCCTCCCTGGTGGCACAAGGGGTTAAGCACCGCACTATGAAGCAATCCACAGCCTCTGCAGCACGAGTTAGATCCCCAGCCAGCCAGGGAGCAACCCACATGGTGAGGCAGACCCCTCCTGTTTCTCCTGCTGCTCCCCTCAGCTGTGTATTTCAGTCAATCTGCCTGTTCTGATCCCCATTCTGTCTCCGGTGAATCCTCTCACTCCCCCCAGCTGTGGCCTGTACCCCAGCTTTTGTATGCATAAATAAATAAAATAAATCTAAAAAAAAAACTGGACAAAGACAAATAAAAATAATTATATATCGTGTGACTTGGTTCAGTATTTTTTTAGGCATTCAGTTATCAAAAAATATAAATCAATAAGAAAAGAGGGGAAAACAATAATAAAACAACTGAAACAATAAGAAATATATTCCTAGTAAAATGAATCATATAAAATAAGTGATATATTTAACATTATCCAATTTATTATTCTGGCTAGTTTTAAAATATTGCACCAATTTAGAATATACTTTGAAGACTTGACCAATTTGGTCTATTTTAATTAATGTGTAAGACTACAGAAATATAAGTTTCTATAATTTTTAGGTTAGTCCCTCCTATTCTTTTTATGTGCTTTGTCTATTTTTCCCTGGTGGACTCAAACAGAAAATCTTCCCACTACAAGCATTTACACAATGGTTGAATGTTTTGGAGCTCTCATATTGTCCTTTCTGTCCTCATATTTCAGCAGCATTCAAAGCACTACAGCTGGCTGATCATGAGATTTTTTTCCCATAGCCATTGGCTGCTATATTTCTCTTTGTGTTCTTAATGGCTCTAGATAGCTGCTAGGCCAGCATCTGCTTGAGATACAGCTACAGCGAGAAATTCACAACCTCAACCTTAAGCCTCCGGGTCTTTGTAACTTACATAGTAGTTGGGGCTCAGATTGTTATGTATATCTGAAAAACTGAATATCTGTTCACCAGGGAAAATAAGAGAGAAAATAGAGAAAGAATATAAAAAACAAATGAGAATTTAACAGTTGTTCATTTTACATTACTGGACAAAAATCTTTTTGAGACAGGATGAAAATGACAAGAATATGGTTGTATTTTGAATTTAGGTAAATTCTCTAGAGAACATGTTAGCTACCATATTAGTTCCAGGGTATGTTGGAACTTTCATTTACTGATCTCTGAAAATAGCAGACCTCTGTAATGATTAAAAGAGTCACCCACTATTGTTGTATAGATTCACTTTCATGTATAAATCTGCATATATCTATTTTATTTTTACACATCCCTGTATTATGTAGTATAAAGGCATAAGATCTTGGTCTGCATTTTTTTTTGGTGAATTTATGATATCTTGTATTATATTTGCTTTACATTAATGGATGCTACAGTAACTTATTTGAGTATACTATTTCCATAAGTTTTTGAAATATAGAAGTTTTATTGTTATATGGGGGAGTTATAAAAAATAAAGATGGCCATAAAATTTTAGCTGTTTGAAGCATTTGATTTTAATTTCCGCAGGCTTAAGTATTTTTCTCCCATCATGAACTAAGTTGTATTGCCTATGTTTGCACTGATCATCATTTACTTAAGAATAAAGAATTAAAGGCCTGTGGGAAGGTTTTAGTATCACTTAACCCTGTTTCATTTGGGCAACTTTCTGTGTGATAATTTATTATATAGTTAAGGCCTGTGGTCAGGAGGTTTTTTTTTTGGGGGGGGGCAAAATGTAAGGAAATAAATTTTTGTTTATTTAATAGAATCTATAATTCAAATTATTTATATGTGGAAAACCATAGCTTTAAAAGATATTATGATATACAAATGAGACCTACAAAGTAATTTTAATAATATTTGGCTGATGTATAAAATCTTTTTCCTATGACTGCAATCATATATGTACATATTTCCTTGTGCATCTTTATAATAGAGGCATGTATCCATAATGTAATGTGGGAATCACATTTCTGAAATTTCTATAAATTATATAAAGATATATATATAATTATATAAAGTTACATAAAGATATAACTCAAACATCTAGATAATAAATGACATTCCAAAACACAATAAGTGAAAAATTATACACAAGTATTCCCTGTTTTTTTGAAAGTTTACTTTATACCACTTTTACAAAAAGCTTCATTAGTGCCTATTTTTCACTAAACTAAAGAAAATTCAAAAAATATTTTCACTTTTGTAGCAAAACTGAAAAACAAAAGAAATACTAGTTTCTAGCAATTGTTTTGCAGCAGCCATTCTAGAAACAGCTCATTCTGAGCAGCAAGAACCACTTTATTTAGCATTTATATTTATCATAGCATTCTGCTCTTTATGTTAGTGTTGTTTTAGGTTTTACGTATTTGATATTTTGTGTTTTATGTTATTTGTAATGATTTGGTTGGTTATTTTTTGGGATTGGGAACACTCAAGAGTTTTTCCATAGAAATGAATGGTAATTGCTTCTCTCCTTCACACCAGTTTCAACTAGGATAGATTTCATAGGAGTGCTCTACTTTTGGATGGTGTGAGGATCTATATTAGAAAGTAAGAGGAACAATTTTATAAAATACACTTTGAATGGAGTAAGCACAAAAACAGAGAAAGACCCAAAACCCATACATTAGGAAAAGATTGTTAAAAGTGCTTACAAAAAGTTTTTTAAAAGCTGTGAAGAAAAATAAGAACAGTCTAAAAACAAACAACAAAATCTCATTTTCTTTAGTATTCAAGCCCCTCTTATTTTTCAATAAAAAGGTCAAGAGACATGCATAGTCATTTCACAGAAAAAATGCTAAATAAAGTTCATTCTCAATTAAATCTGCAAATTAGCACAATCTCATTCATCATGTTTTTTTGAATTAAAAAAAGACCTTGATAATATCCAATTTGACAACAGCATGAGGATTTAGGTGGCGGCATATTTCTGCTAAGTATATTTTCTAACATTTTAAAGTGTAAATTTGCAATATCTATGCAATAGAAAAGGCACATTGACCCAGTAATTGCACTATTAAGGATTTATAATTCAGTCATATGTGAGTGAACACACACACACACACACACACACACACACACAGAAACACATTATAATATCAAAATATTGGAAAATACCTGAATGTGAAGGTGATTACAGGAATATTAGTAATCTATCTGGTAAAATACTATGGATGCCCCAGAGAAGGATGAGGCAAAGGTGGACATGATGACTTGGAAATATTCCCATGATATTGCAAGTTAGCCCGACAATGTCATTTATCATGTCTTTTTGATATATTGCTGAGATATGATAGATCTCGTGACATATAGCTGAGAGGAAAATAAACAAGTTCCAGGATACAATATATTGTACAAAGTATATATTATAGTCCCATTTGTGTTGATAAAATAACAAGCAAGTTGTGTTGAGTGTATATTTATATTTCAAGATTTATTTGTTTTACAAATTTCAACATCAAAACAACCTTCATCTTCCCACAATGCAGTAAGAAAGTATTTTTAATTTTCCCAAAGTTCTGCAAGTGGCCAAAGCCATTTGCTTGAATTGAGTTCCAGTCTCAGTATCTTATTGTTAAGGTTGCTGGGGCAAGTTCTTAGTATTGCTCCTGAAATAAAATAAATTGTAGATACAGAAAGAACCTGGGCACAACCTCCATAGATAATTTCAGGTGAAAATGAGAGTTTAGTCTACATTTCTTACCATATCTTGTTTGCATATGTATGGTAGTTTTTTAAAGTATAGTACATTTGTGTCTTTTCTCTTTAAAAGAAGTAAATTCATCTTTTGATTTAGCCATACAGAATGAGTTTAAGGTCTTCCAACAGTCACATAGATTCAG